CGGATTTCAGTTATCTTGAAAATTAAAAAAATTCATTTTTATACAATTGTTTAAATAACTATATCTCGCGAACGGTGCAACTACAAACGGAAATGATTTCACTACAATTCACTACAAACGATTTTCTATAAGAAACAATACTTAAAATTTATTAATTTCAAAGTCGGGGGATGACATTTTTTTAAGTCGCGATATCTTTGTTTCTGCGCTACTACAAACGAAATGAATGTTACTACATTCAACTACATACGAAAATCTTTCGGAAAAAAATTAAAAAAAAAATATTTGTGCAAGTCGGGTGCCAAGTTCACAAAGCCACTCATGAAGGAGTATTTAAGCTGTGATAACAAAGCTGTAAAACCAAACTCCATTGTCATAAGAATAACCTCATCAATTTTACCACATCTTACGATGCAAAATCAATATTGTTGGTACAAGAAGATGAAGAAGAAGAAGAATCTCACTCTATGGGAAATAGCAACAGAGATCTTCAGTAAAGAGAAAACATCGGATGCACCACCGACGAAGAAACGAAGAACCTACATAGTGATAATTATGATGCAGGAAACTACGCCTTCCTCGAATTGCAAAGCGTTATAAAATGTGTCAACGTGCATTTGAAACATTTAGAATCTCTGTCTGATAACGTCAACTAGTATGCGCAATATTTAATTAAAGAAATTGAACTAAAACTGCCTGTAAATTATGTTAATCGTAAAATCATAAGATTAACGCTAAAAAATAATTACGACGAAATTGTACGTAATGTGTGTACACAAATTAACGACTTAAATTTTCTCGATTCGTATTTTAACATATTTGTGGAATTAACTTTATTACGTTGTAATGAAATTTTTTATATAATTCTTACGAACTGACAATTATAATTTGTATCCAATTATTCTAAAACTTTTTATTTTATTCACTCAATTGAATTATTGTATATATTTTCCTACGACGAAGAATTTATATAAATACATTACTTTAAACTAAGAAGCGCCAATAACGGACTGAACGTTAAGATGTTGAACTATTCTAAATTCATTTTAAATAAATTTAGAATAGTTCAACATCTTAATGTTCAGACCGTTATTGGCGCTTCTTAGTTTAAAGTAATGTATTTAACATAAACGGTCTTCCAATCTTATTATATAAATACATTCTTTTTTATACTGTCACGAGTGTTGAATTGCACAAGTGACATTTGCGCCACGAACGTGTCGAAAATAATAACCGAATAATTAAATGATTGCCGAAATTATTAAATTAAAGTAATATAAAAGAAAACCCTGAGCGGAAGTAAATATTAAACTATAGAAACGCGGACTCAAGATGCTGCGCGGAAGCTGATCTCGTCCGATAAGCGGAACGCTGACGGACCAACGCAGAAGGCCCAAGGTTGCTCCGAAAATATAGAATTAGTAGAATTGATCACTTACAGTTTCACATGAAAAATTTTTCTATTTAAATTAAATTTTTTCATTTTATACGATTAATTCTTTAATTTTTTGTAGTAACACTTAAATTGAGCAAGGTAACGCAATTTTGTGATGTTTTGTATAATGTTTTGAAGGAGAATTAAATAACCACTACTTTGGTTGGAAGAGGAAATGTCTTTGAATGAATTGTGATATGATAATTTCATTTAAGAGGAATTTAAACCATTTGGATTAGAATAGGAAGATTCTTCAATAAGTATACATATATAGTACTTAGGTTTCATTGTATAAAAATTAAAGATACTAGTATACCATTTGAATTAAGTAAATAATAAAGATAGTATCACTTAGGTTTTACTTTTTATTTTGTAGTAGAATTTAACTTGGCGCCACAGTTGTTGATATCAAATCGTTTGTACAAATAATACATATTAGATTAATATTCATTATTTAATTTGGCTATCAAATCTTTTTTACGAATAATACATAAAATTTAGATAAATTTAATTAAATTAACAGAATTTAACTTGGCGCCATAATTGTTGATATCAAATCTTTTATACAGATGAAACATATACATATATCATTAGATTTAGTAAATTTTGTGATATTAAATTAACAGAATTTAACTTGGTGCCACAATTGTTGATATTAAATCTTTTATACAGATGATACATATATCATTAGATTTAGTAAATTTTGTGATATAATGATTTTCATGTAATAATCTTTGAAGGGAAATAAAACCATTATAACTTGGGTTGGAATGTATCATATACAAAAATTTCATCAACTCGATTAATCCTAATCGGTGATTAATTGTCAACCGTAAGCGGTCAATTCTACTAAACAACAAACGCAATTAGTCATCAGTTCCACGGCCGATTAAGTAATTGACGTTGGTAAAATCGGTCCAAATAGTGGTTCTATACGAGAAGCACGCTTAGCGCTTTTTTACCTTTTTTTTAAAAAGATAAGTTTGTATACGATTAAAGTTACTATTACTTTCTTTTTTGAAAATAAGAGTATAGTAAAATTTAACTTGGTAGAATAGCAGTTTTTTTCAATACTTATCATTTAGGTTTTATCATATAAATAGCTTTTTACGATGATTAGAGTTAACTAAATAATAAAGATAGTACCGCTTCAGTTTTATAATAAATATCATTAAAGTTAATAATAAATAAATAATTAACGTAACAGAATTTAACTTGGCGCCTGTTGTTGATATCAAATTTTTTATACATATGATACATATCATTAGAGTTAAGTAAAAATAACAAAGATAGTACCACTTGGGTTTTATTTTTTAATTTAATAGAATTTAACTTGATAAAGATAGTTCCACTTGAATTTTACTTTTTAATTTGATAAAATTCATCTTGGTGCCTATTGTTAATATCAAATCTTTTACACAAATGATATATTTGAAATAAATAAATAATAAATAATATGGATAGTACCACTTGAGTTTTACTTTGTAATTTGATAGTCTTTCTTTTACACACATGATACATATCATTAGAGTTAAATAAATATGTGTCATATAAAAAAATCTGCCATAATGGCATGAATACAAAAACGCGCCTAGCGGCGAACAGAATACTAAACATAAAAACGTCGATAACTAATCGACTGCGACTCGCAGTCGGTAATCCGCCAGGCGCCATGGAATGATCGGACAAGCAACTATCCATCAATATGTATAGTATCACTTGAGTTTTACTTTGTAATTTGATAGTTTTTCTTTTACACACATGATACATATCATTAAAATTGAATAAATATGTGTCATTTATAAAGATAGTTGCACTTAGATTATATTTTTTAATAATTTGGTATAGCAGTCCTTTTTTATACTATTTACATTCCATTTGATGACAAAAGTCGACACAAATTGACACAAACGTTGTTCTTTAAAATATCCTTCTTGACATTCAGAGTGACAAAGATAGAACAACACTTGTATCAACTTGTGTCGACTTGTGTCATCAAATGGAAAGCACCCACTTATCATTTAGGTTTTATCATATTATATTAAGTATGGATATAGTATAACCTAGACACCCACTTCTTCCATGGCGAACACCTAGACACCCATTTCCTCGACGGCGAATACTTAGACATTCATTTCTCCGACGGCGAACATCTAGATACCTACTTCCTCGACGGCGAATACCTAGACACTCATTTCCTCGACGGGGAACACCTAGGCACCCACTTCCTCGATGACGAACACCTAAACACTCATTTCCTCAATAGCGAACACCTAGACACTTGTTTCCTCAATAGCGAACACCTAGACACCCACTTTCTCGACGGCGAACATGTAGACAAAACCTAGATACCCACTTCCTCGACGGCGATCACCTAGAAACTCATTTCCTCGACAGCGAACATCTAGACACTCATTTCCTCGACGGCGAACATCTAAACACCAACTTCCTCGATGGCGAACACCTAGACACCTCTTTTCTCAATAGCGAACACCTATACACCCACTTTCTCGACGGCAAACATGTAAACAACACCTAAACACTGATGGCGAATTCGGTTGGCATGCACTCACTCCGTGCCAGTGCCTGGTAACATTTTATTACTAGGCGCACGTGCTCGGAGTGCGTATTCATAACTGAACTGAGTGCGGGCACTTGCACTAACCTGGGTGCGATAATTTGCACTGACCCAACTCAGTGCAAACTAGTAACTTCTTGAATACCAACATATACAACGTGTAACCATAAAAACTTTCTTTTCCTGTAGTTTATAGCTCAGATAAGCTGTGGCCTGTGATCCATGGTGGCGGATCATTTTTTCACAGAAAAGAAAGATTAATTTAAAGAAAGAATAAGGGAAGAAAGATTGGCCCAAAATAGTTGTCCACATTAAAATTTCGCAAGAATTGATATAATATAACGTAATAAAGTACTTTATATTTTATAAAACTAAAAGTAGATATATAAAAATAAAAGAAATATACAAGTTTAGATTATTTTTATATTATAAAAGTTTATATTATATAAGTATATTATTACTATTACTATATATGTTTAAAGTCTTACATATGTCTTCAATATGTACTGTCGTTTAATTTTTGTATAATTTTAGCTTTAAGTATGTTACATTTTAATACTTTCTGTTTAACTTTTGTCACAGGTTTTCGTCATAAAAAAATAATGGATGCTAATACAGATAAAAATGAAGTACTATTTGGTTGGTGTGACAAAAGTACTCGTTTATTGTTAGACAAATACGAGCAATATTTGCCTTTAATTGGACCTATGAAACAATTTAAAAATAAAAAATTAATGTGGATACAAATATCAAATGATATATTAACACAACTAAACATTGAACGAAGCGCTGTACAATGTGAAAATCGTTACAAGACCATATTAAAACGTAAGATGCAATCTGGGAAAAGCAATCAACAGTCAGGTGCAAAAAGAACAAGAGTTGAATTTGAAGAAGAATTAAACAAGATAAAAGCAATAGATGACAGTTTAGAACCTGAAATTTTGCAAGGTCCTGGGAAAATTATTGAAAAGAATAAAGAAAATATACCAAAGGATTGTACAGGAAAAAAAAAGAAAAAAATGACTGTAAGTGAGACTTTGTTACAGATTCAAAAAGAAAAAGAAGAAAAAAGAGAGAAAAGACATAATGAAAGACTTGAAGTATTACGTGATTTTATAAAGATATTTTCAACAGATAATACAACTGACAATAATAGCGAGTAGAAAATCTATAATTTTTAACTTTATATGAAATGGTTTTATGTTATTGGAAAATGTTATAAGCTCGCAAATATTTTACTATTTTGTATGTACATAGAACTTCGATTATCCAATTTCATGTGAACCAGATGTATCCAGTTAAAAAAGCATGTTTTAGATAGAAATATCTATATTAAGTAAATAATCGGTGTATTGGATAATCGAGATTCTGCTGTGATACTAAAGACTGTTAATTATAGATTATAGATTACAGATAGTACTGAGTGAGAGAGAAGACAACGTTTATTTAATATATGACGACTAGTCCTTAATATGTGTTATGTATGCTAAAAAGAGATTATTTCTTTTTATGTTATGTTATACAAAATCTTTTTTTTTTACATTATGTGATACTAACATAATTGTTTCTTTAAACGTTCTTTAATGCTAAAAGTTACTTCATTATAAATATAGATTACTATCATTTTCATAAAGAGTTGATAATTATTTTCTAAGAAAGGATATGTCGCATTGCTTAAGTCCGGATCTACAATAGGTGTTTTAAGACTTACGCTGTAAGAAATTGAGCAATTACAGTCGAATCCGAAGGGAATAATCGACTGTGATTTGCCCATTTCTTATGGCTGAAGACCTAAAACCCTATTGTAGATCCGGAGTAATAAGTAATCTTCTGATATAGCTTGTGCCTCATATATATTTAAAAATGACAATTGGAATATTTTTGCATTTCTTTATATATCATATACTATAAAAAATTATTATTTATTATTTATTATTGAGTATACGAAAACTATTTTACGCTAATTAAAGATAGTATACGAAAACTATTTTACGCTAATTAAAAAAAAAATTGATTTACTTTATTCTAAACTGTATTAATAATCTGAAAGAAACATATTCTTATATTCTTTAAAATGTTTGTTAAAAGAGATTTTAAATTGTGTACTAATAAATAAAAACACAATTTTATTTTAAAGAAAGGTTTATTTATGTATACAAACATGTTCATTTTTTGTTACATAATTTCTAATTAAAAGGCAATATATTACAAACAATATCTCTTTTTATTTCACCTTGTATCCTATCATTTTGATTCTGTTCATTATAGATGTGCCTTTCTACATCATTATATTCTACATCATCGATATCTTCATTTAAATAATCATCATTCATGATACATGAATTATGTAAAACACAACAGGAAATAATAAAATTAGAGGAACGTTTAACGGTAATAAATTCTAGTGTCATCAGTTGTCTAAATCTTTGTTTTAATAATGCAAAAGTATTTTCTATTTTAACTCTTGTAGTAGACAATTTATGATTATAATTTTGTTGAGTCGCTGTGAGATTACCGTAATCTCTATAAGGAGTTAGTAAATATTTTTGTAAAGGATATGCCGCATCACCTAATATGTGATAATCGTTTGATATATTTTGTATCTCATCACTGAAAAATGACAACTGGAATATTCTTGCATCATGTATTTTACTCGGAGGACCAGTAAAAACGTCTAAAAATAATTTATGAGCATCACAAACTGCTTGCAGTGTTAGGGATGGATAATCATGTCTATTAACATAAGTGCTCTTGATTTTTTTAGCGGGCGTTCTGATTTTAATATATGTTCCATCAATACAGCCGAGAACTCCTGGAAATCCACATATCTAAAATAAAAATATTTTATGTTTAAACATATAAAGCTATTTTAAAAAATACATAATGTAAAAAAATATATTGCACACATTTTCAACATTTAATAAGTATTTACAAAACAAAAAAAGGATTTTTGACACATTTTTAAATATTTACTATATCTACTGATAATTATTTTTCTAATAACTGTTATGCATTTATTTAAATATAAATAAAAAATTACACACATTTTCAAATTCATGAGCAACTAATCTTTTTCTTTCTTCTGTATCTGGCATTTTTATTATATTTGGAGCAATATTATTTAAATATTTAATAACGTTTGATACGATAGAATGAAAAGTAGATTCTGCTACATTAAATCTAGATGCAACGTCTCGTATCACACATTTGTTTCCTGCATACCTAAAAATGTAATATTATTAAGTATTTATCTATATTAATTATATAAATTTATAAGGATACATACCATAAGAATGATAACAGCTGTCTATCACTACTTATAACTTCCCACCCACCATGTTCTTTTAATGAATTAAAAATTTCTGAATTTGAGTACATAGTATTTAATTGGTCAAACGTGCTCCGTTTTAAACGAAAATGACGCTGAAACTAAAAAATATTTTAAATTATATGATATAATAAATATATAAAATATAAGTCGAAATTTCATATAACAGTTATAATTGATTATTATATAGAATATAGCACCTACGATTTTAATAAAATTAGGCTTAATCGACGCGTTTTTGCAATAAAAGAATTTGGCGGAAAAAACTGTCGCTCTGCCCCGAACCGAAATATGTGTTAAAATTACATTATAATTATATGATATAATACCTCTCTATCAGAATATTCATTAATAATTTCCATCATATTCTTTATTTTTGGAATTCTATCAGTTTCAGTACATTTCATTACTATTGCCGTTATTTCTTCATCACTGGAACTGTTTGAACTATCTATAAGTTCGTCCAATAATAATATTTTTCCTGCCATACTTTATAGGTTACGTCAACTTTGCACTGAACCGCACTGACAAAAATCTCAGTGCATTTCAGTGCGTTTTATACAATACAGTGCGCCTCAACCGAACATAGAAGTATCACTGAACTGGGGTAGTGCAATCCAATCGAACACGTTCTTACCAGCGCACGTTTTCAGTGCACCATCAACCGAACATGCTAAACATTCTGAACCAGTGGAGTGCAAGCCAACCGAACACAAGATACTGAAAGAGGGCGCACTCAGTGCGCACCAGTGCGCACTAGTGCCTCCAACCGAATTCGCCATGACTTCCTCGATGGCGAATACCTAGACACTCATTTCCTCGACGGCGAACATCTAGACACCAACTTCCTCGACGACGAACATGTAGACATCTACTTCCTCGACGGCGATCACCTAAACATCCATTTCCTTGACAGCGAATACCTAGACACCCACTTCCTCGACGGCAAACATCTAGACTTTTAATTCCTCGACGACGAACACCTAGACGCTTAATTTCTCGACGGTGAACATCTAGACACCCTCTTCCTCGAGGCGGTAAATACCTAGATCTTCAACGACAATCTCGATATTTCATTTCAATTTTAATTAATATTTCATTTTAATTTTAATTAATAATTTGCGCCGCATCGTATTTTTGCACCACGCGCGCGTCACATTGTATATATGTGATGACAATGTTGCCATCGCTGATTATCACAGCCGTCATGTGTGGTTGATCACGTTCGAATGTGCAATGCTGCCATCGCTTGGTTAAGTCAAAAGCCATCTATTATCAAAGAAACGAGACGTACATTTTTTTCTGGTCGACGACAATAATAGTAATAATAATAAGAAGAACGACGTATCTGAATCTGAATGTGAAAAGTGACAGATCCGGACTTTGCGTCGCAATATCTCCGCTCGTAGAGCACGTAGAAAAAAAATAAAAGCACTTTTATCATACAATCCGTGTGGTGGCTATCGATTGAGCGTACATAGAACACAATCGGTTTAGCCGTTATTGAGATCCGATAATCACGATCCAGCGCAATTCGTCAGCATTCGTTCGCGTAAAGGAGGCACGGCAGTGTCGCTGCGCTTGGCTTAGCGCCGAGACACTACCGTATCTCCAGATAAAAGCGCGATCGCAGACGCGGTCAACGGTCAGACTTTGAAACGAAAGACGTCGCGTTACTCTGCTCGTCGACTTAATAATAAAGTGTATATATCGCGATACGGACACAATTAAGTGGAATTGTGATTTGAATTAATTGTGACACTGTGAATAAAGTGAACGAATATATATATTTCTAAAAGAAAACTCTACAAGAAGCAATATACGATCATTTGTTCCCAAGTCCTTGTAGATCATCGAACCGTGCCGTAATATCAGTGGCACAACAATATCATAAACTTTCTTCTATTTTTCTCGTAACCTCGCTCCCTTTTACAATAGACACTCTTCTTCTAGTATTTCAGGTTTAGATGTAATGCACATGTAAAAAAAATATAGAAATAACTTTTTCTTTAGAGTAACGCCAGAATCATCACAAAAGATCACGCCGTGACAGATGAACATGTTTGTTCCTGTTTTACCTTCCCTTTCCTCCAAACAAAAGAATCTCCTAGACTCGAAAATTTTCGTAAAAGATCCTATCATAAATAATAAAAACACTTTCACTAAAACGTGAATACGTCGGAGATATAGGGTCGTGCCAACAAAAAAATGACTACCATAAAGCTACCTGCTATTCATCTCCTTTGTTCGTACCTCTTCCCCACGACAAAAAAGAAATGTTGCGGTCCCAATCTCCACTCACCATTTTTTCGGAAGTCTCCTACCACTCCAGTAGAATAATAAGGCCGGTTCTAACTTACTATGTGTTAGTGCGTATATGTATGTGCGTGCGTGCGTGCGTGCGTGCGTGCGTGCGTGCGTGCGTACGTGCGTGCGTGCGTGCGTGCATATATTTTAAAAAGCTCGTATTTTTATTTTAAAGTGATATATTTTCTTTTTTGGCGTTGCAACCACCAATTGTATATTTTAAATACATTCTGTAACGCACAATTTTTAACATGATTTCTACATCGCACGGTATTAGTAATATTCAGATTTTGTAAAGAATCTATATCTTCGTAATCGGCATCGATGGTCTCAATGGGCAAGTCGTCGCTATCAAGTATATTAGTCAGCCATTGGCGTTTTTCACGTCCTTTAACGTATACAAGAGACTTATTATCATCATTCTCTTCCGCACCAATTACAGCCATCGTAATCAGGCGTTTCACCATGCTGTACGGTATCATCCCATCTTCCCATTGCAATCCATGGTGATAGTTAGCACTCAGTCAGGAAGCGCAATACTTTTATGATTTTGTCAAGAAATTCCATGGGGCATGTAAAAATATAATGAGAGAGAATAGCTCCTTTTCTCAACACCGCCACTTCCTTCACGATAAATTTCTTTCCAATGATAAATCCTTGCAGATCCACGAACATTGGTATAATCATGGCGAATGACTTTTCGAGACTGTGCTCAAGGGCAAAAATCTTGGCTTTTTATCCATTATATTGAAAAGAGGAGAGTGTTCAATGTTTAGCAAGAAAATTACGGTAAAGTAACAATTCCAAAAATGTAAGTCAATTTCTGTGTGAACGAACAAATAATATAGTTAAAGTCACTGACGTAGCAATCAATACATCTATTTTAAACCTTTGAGGTGTCACGACATTATTGGTGAAAGAATCAAAATAGCAATTTTAAGATGTTAGTACATACTAGTAAATGGTTGAGCAGAGTAATATCGCATACATGAAATAGAATATATAATAGCTTAACATATAACACATACAATAATATAAATCGCACAGGAATATAGATGAAATAGAATAATAAACATACAAATAAAATGAATCAAACAGAGTGATACATATAACATTAATTAAATAATGTGAGTCGAATAATATAAGACAAGAAAATATACATAATATAATAGCTAGTAAAGAGGATAATAATATGAATTGAATAAGATTCTACAATTGTATTAGAAGAATACAAGAAACGTCTCATCGTTTGAGTCAAACTAAACGAAATGGAAAACTAAATATAGACATATTCGAGTCATAAAGGTGTCTTAACGGTAAAGTATCAAGGATGCTCGTTCTAAAGAAGGTTAATTAATTGAGTTAGAGACGTATTAGTATTAAATTGAACAGTGGTGATACTCATCTGATAGAATCGTGAACTTATGCAACTTATACTTCCCATCCAGTATAATTCCTGTCTAGCCAAGTCGGCAACGTTGAAAAGGGATAGTATAATCTCGTGTGCCTCAATGGCGTCCACAAGGCGACCCGGAAATCCCTGAGATTATATCCTATTGTCCAGATAGTATATTCAAGATCAACAACCCGTTCCTATCAATCTCAGGGAGATACCCGGCTCATCGGACCATAGGCTTCGGTAACACTAGATGGTCGGTGTTATAGTCTGTGAGTGACGAGAGAATTCTCGTCGCAACCTCCCGAAATGGCAACTTTCCGAAACGCAACTTTCTGTGCGGTTAATCTTCCGATTGAGCAACTCTCTGAGTAATACACTGTAGATTAAGCAACCTTCCGTTTACACACGACTTTGGATTGAGCAACTTTCCGAGATTCTCGCGATCTTTAGTCGGAACTGTATTCGAATACGCAACTGTCAGTGCTGCACGACGCGGTGATAACGGCTATTTCAGTTTTCGAAGTAAAGGCAGGTAACGGAAACGAAGGTAAACCGGAAAGACAAGATGGTTTCCAAAAAAGAGATAGAAACGCCACCTTCTCGCGCTCCCAGCGCCAGCCAGACGCCATCTGTAACTGCCGTGCAGGCGCTGGCGCGCTTCTCACCAGCGCGCGCGCGGGAGCTCTGATTCGAGTAGTAAACTCGCAACAAGGAGAGGTTATTTTTCTTTTGGTGACGATAATTTACGTAATCTTGCGTACTACGTTGGATAATGGACTGTATTCGATCACGCGGTCATGTATGATAAGACAAAGGCGGTAGTATTTGCTGGTACATTTTCTTTGAATTCAAATTCTAATCGCACATCCACGGTGCCACTCTCGACGGACTCGTTTTGTCGCGAGCAGTCCATGATTACTAGAGGAAAGAGATTCCTAAAAGAGTCTGTCTTGAATAACGTTTCACTACTTTCTTTTGAAATTTGATAGTAAGATGTACGGAAACGTACAAACATATCGTTCAAAATAGCGGTTCTGCGTTTGTCGAAGTCCAGATTCAGATCATCGTATGGAAAAAATTCAGAGTTCAGATAGAGTTTCACGTTGGTTAATTTACAATTGTCGAGGTAAGTTTTATGTATTGCCATGTTATTTTTTCTATTAGTCTGCAGAGCAAAAATGATGTATCGCGGCTTCTCAAGCTGAGTAGCCGTCTTGATAGCCCACGAATGCTTCGTACTCGGCAATAGAGGATACTCGTACAGATTCCATGAACGGAAACTCATACTCAGATATCGTCCGCTCTCCAAAGCACGCAACATGGATAGTTTATTGACTTCATTCAACGTAATGTGAGGCATTCGCCACTGTATCTTGAACAATTCAAGTTACGGCTCTGTCGCCGGATCTCCCACAATGCAATTGTTGTCGTTGCGCGCTCGTATCAAAATCAATTCATGATGCGTTAATTACTACATGTAACGTATAATAAATCAACCTGTCTAAGACTCCTTATAAATCAGAAAACAAGGAAAGAACAAGGGCAATAGGAGTCAAACGCGGGAGACATTGCGTAAATAACACGACTATCGTAGCGTAAAACTTCTTTATTTTACTAAAGCGCTTACATGTTTCGGCTCATTTTTGAGCCTTCTTCAGAGACAATTAATAAACTCACATATATAGAATATAACAATTATTAACTAGTCATGGTGATCTTCCCCTCGAAAGTATAAATGCCAGAATTAAATCCAGATAAGAATGCAATGAAGAAACAAGGAAAGAAATTTTGAAAATCTCAAAATGAAGAAATTGTAAAACTAATGTATCAAAAAATTTTGAAATTATAATTAATTATTCCGAAAGTTAGGAAGCTCATCCTGATCACAAGATACCGCATCGCAAACATTACTCTCAATAATTCAAAAATCGGTTTCTGATAAGTTGGCCAGTCAGTGTCAGACACAGTTAGTCTCTTTTTGATTTAGTTGGTCTTTATTGAGACAGTAATTAGAAAACTAGCGTTAAAAAATTAATCAAAGTCAAGAAAAGAAATTTTGAAAATGAACTAAAGTCAACGCCCGACAGACTTCTTGTGTACGAGCGACACTGACTTTTTTATTATCGAGAGATTCGTTATTATCAAGAGACGGTGCCCGCTATTGATGCTGACCATTGACGAGACGGAGTGGCGAATGGGAGTGTCAGATTGTCGTTGTATCCTAGAGTACAGTATTCTGCTGGTGAGATAGTCAGAGAGATACGGATTGATCCACAGCCCTTTCTTCCTTCAATTCCTCCCCCATCATTTTCCTCATCAAGGAGTGGGTGGTTCGTGAATCTGTCAACCGTTTCTATACCTCCCAACGTACAGAATTTTTTACAATTGGGAGATAACTTCGCCTTACCGTTGAACAATAGATTAAATTTAACGGTTGACCTGATTACAAATGTATTGAAAGTAACATTTACAAATTGCCCATTGACGAACGGATCTCGATCTCGAACCACTCACTACCTGTTCTGAATAACTTAGCTTCGGGTCCCCTACATCGTACGGAGATAGACAGGAGGTTGTTACAACTAGCGAAGGACACTAGGATCTTTGTAAGGGATGTGAATGATAGGGTTATTTTTACTCGTGCGGATAAGGGCAATGTAACGGTAGCATTAGCTAGACAGGTGTACATTTCTAAGGTTAATGAGATGCTTTAGGAGTACGAGAGTACTTATGAGGTCATCAGAAAGGATCCGACAAGGAGGATTATAGCAAGTTTACGCACCTTATTAGTTTGCTGGAAGGAAAAAAAGTATATATCGGAATCCACATATAGAAGTTTGTTATGTAATGATGGAATACTTCC